AGTAGCTTTCTAAAATTGGACCTGTGACATGAGCTCATTAAGTCTAAGTTTTCCTTATCTGTAAAATGGGTATACTAAAGCATACAGCATGGCATTGCTATGAGGGTTAAATGAGAACATATTCATATATAAAAATGCCTGGTGCAGTCCCTGACAAAATTTAGACATCCAATAAATGCTACCTGTTATCGTTACTATTCACTTTCTTGTAAACTTTAATCATGAACTCCTCCTTTATAATTTTAGAATGATTTAACCTGGTTTCTTAGGAATGGGACAGGCCATACTCAAAGTAGACATCTGCAGAAAGTTCCTTACAGTGATATGTGGCAGTGTATTTCATAACAGCTCTGCTGTCTAAGGGCATCCAAGACAGATCTGCAGAAACATCAACAATGAAACGGAAGAGAAGTGACCTACTGTTTGTTCGCCTCTGACACCATCAAGATACTTGCCAGCTGGGTTCCAAGAGCGGATTCTTTATTACAGTGATGATGTAAGAGGCAGAAAAAACAGCTGGATTTTCAGGTTCTAGGGAAAATTTGTGGCATCAGCAGCCCCTCAAAATTATCTTTTGACTTAAAAACTGAGTACACTGGATATGAAAGTCATTAAAAGAGAATAAATGTGAAACCCCGTGAAGTCATTCTCACTGAGACTTTTTTAGAGTGTAACCACCCTTTAAGCAATAAAACATGACGTACCATGCAGTGGTTCTGATTAATAGATGCTCAGGTGTGTACTAAGGCGAAAGGGGAAACAAGATGGAGCTAGGTGACAGTTTGCCAAAAAAAATGAAAGTAAGATTATAGCAATAGGATGTGGGGCTGAGAAAGAAGGGTTTAATTAAAGGACAGACATATTATGGTTGTATTAATTATAAAATACACAATTTAAATCAAATGTTAGATATATTTAAAATATACATTTGTGTAATTACACAAAGGATTTGTAAGTTTGCCAGATAATTTTGCACTGCAATGTACTATTGATGAGTGATTTCCTTTATCATATTAATGTAGTTGCCAGGGGGAGAAAAAGAGAAGGAAGTTCTGTCTGGTGAAGTGTTGATATGTCCAGCCTTATAATGGGTTAGAAAGAACAGTGAAGAGCTCTTGAGCCCAGTTTGCTGTTTATGTGGCTGCTGGGGTGATGTTATTTAATGGATGTCTCAATGCATAGCATGGGTCCACCATACTGGCCAAAAAGGGTTTGGTTAATACTGCCAAGGTTTTCCTCTGGTGAGTAACAGTGAATCAGGCGCTCACCTGGGAGATGCAGATGAAGTCTTGCGGTACTGGAGCTAACATTTAAGAGCTGAGCTTTTCTGGACAGGTATAACTACTGAGATTCCCTGGATAAGTCTGTTTTCCTCACCGAGGTAAACACTATTATCCCCACAGCATGTTTTGTTGGGCTTTTCATCTTTGGGTGAGAGAAAATGATTCTTTTTGAGGATAAGGATAAATGTTTCTTCTACTACAAGAGAAGGACAAGGCAAGAAAATTTGAACAGACTCAGAGGCAATTGTCTATGCATTTCTACAAGTAAATTAGTAATATAAGGAAAGAAAAACAAGTAAACATTTAAACAAACTAGAGAATGAGTACTGGACTAAGCTCGGTGGAAAAAGAAGTATTAATGTGGCATAATGGCAGATTACCAATAGTCTGTTCCTATAAAGTAATGAATGTAACCATAGAATTACTGCATATTTTCACCAAGAATGCCAACTGAACACACAGCTTTTCCAAAGCATGAGATATTCCTTTACTCTTATTTTCAGCCTGAGTTTATCACCCCAGTGGTATTTTTAAAATTTTATTTATTTTTAATTTTTGTGGATGCATAGTAGGTGTATATATTTCTGGGGTACATGAGATGTTTTGATATAGGTACACGATGTGAAATAATTACATCATGGAGAATGCGGTATCTATCCTCTTAAACATTTATTTTTGTGTTACAAACAATCCAATTGCCCTCTTTTAGTTATCTTTAAATGTATGATTATTATTCCTCTAGTCACCCTGTTATGCTATCAAATAGTAGGTCATATTCATTCTTTCTATTTTTTGTGCCCAGTAACCATCCCCACCTTTTCCTCAGTGGTGTTGACAGTATTGTCATAATTATTTCTGCTGGTAACGTTAGAAAAATTTGCTTCCTTATTTTTTAAATCCACCCTCATTTTTAGATGTTATTTAACTATAAAAGATATGTATTAGTTCGGTTTGTTGAAGCAAATAAATAAAGCAAATTGTTATTTTTGGAACACAATATATTTTTGCAGGCTATGCACCCCAACCCCCTCTGTCTGGTCTTGTCATTGTTGATGATCTGTTGGGCCTACTGGTGCCAAGTAAGCACTGATAAATATTGGTCTGTGGCCTTTTATGTCTGTTATCCTTGCCCAGCCACTAACAAGGATGTGACCTTGAGCAAGTCAGTTCCCTTAATCTCTTCATCCGAAAAATGAGGGGGTTGAAGTAGATGAGCTTTGAGGTCTTTTCAATTTAGTCCCAGTTTCTATGACTCTAGCAAGAGTATTTGTTCCCCTTAAATTCAGTTCAGCATATTATCAGCCTCGTGCAAACTTAAGTGCAAGAAAGCATTGCCCACTCACTATAGGGCACTCAGAGTAAAAACTGTCTCAACTTTCAAAGAGCTTATGAAGGGGAAAGACAAATCACACAAAGAACCATTAGAATTGGTAGAATATGCAAAGGGAATAGTAAAAAACGTGGTCATAGTATTTAAGAAGGGCATTCTCCTTTGTGAAATGCTGCATAAATGAGGTGGCACTTGGATGGCCCTGGAAGAAGCTACATGTATGTAGACACTGAAAGAAGGGAAGAAATACCATGAACATGGTGGGAAAGAGTAGGACTTTGCTGGAGTGTAGAGATAAGAGCGAGAAACTAGATTGGGCTATATTGTAGCAGCTTTGACTACCAAACTGAGAAGTTTGAATTTAATCCAATAAGCAAAGAGAACTGTAAGAAAAGAAGTGATATGTTTTAAAGAGCACTTTAGAAAAATTAATGTAACATTTGTGTGAAGGATGGACAAGAGGTAAAGAAAAACTAGAAAAAGTGAAGCCAGTCAAGAGCCAGTCAAGATGTCCTCACAGTAGGTCGTAAAGGGAGAAATAGAGGTTGGTGTAGAAAACAGCTATTGATTCAGGAATCACAATCAGAGTAAAAACCACTGGATTTGGCAACTAATTGGATATAGGAAGCAAAAAACAGAAGAATTAAAGATGACTCCCCAATTGTAGGCCCACGTAACTGGATGAAGAGAATACCAATGGCAGGAAATGGAATGTCTAGAGAAGGAATAGATTTTAAGGGAAAGTCAGTTAATTCAGTTCTACACTTTCTGAATTAGAAAAGCCTGTGTAGTATTTGATGGAGATGTGAGATTGTCAAAGTTAGAGGCCCTGCCTTATTCATCCAGGTGCCTAGTAGATGCTATATAAATACTGAATGAATGGACAAAGGAATGAATGAACCAACAACCAGGTGTTATTTAGAATGTGGGTGTGCAGCTCTGTTGAAAAGCTAGAACTAAAGATAGCAATGTGAATGCTTTCTATGGAGAAGAGATTGTTGTAGTTAGGGAGGGCTGGGGTAGACAAAGCCTGAGGAGAGAGTCTAGAGGAATGTCTATATTTAGAGAACAGAAGAAAGAAAATAAGCCAGTGAAGAAGGCAGGATAGCAGACTGAGATGTAGGGGAAAAAATCAGGGTAGTTCAGTGCAGAATGAGGTGGATTTCAGGAATTAAGTGGGTCATGGTCATTGGAGCCTAATGTGGCCAAAAGGGTGAGGGCCAGAAAAAGACCACTGGGTTTGAGGCTCTAGAACAGGTAATAGTTCCATAGCCCCTCAAGCTGAACTCCTCAGGATTACAGGCTATGGGAGAAAATGGAGCCTTTGCAGTAAAGGACAGAGAGAGTGCTCAGAACATGCCCAGATCAATGGGTGTCACTAGAATAGGTAAGAACTAAGCAATAGAGAAAGAGAGAGAGAGGGGGAGAGAGAGAGAGAGAGACAGACAGACAGACAGACAAGTGGAATGAAGTATATCAGAAATGTGGTAAAAGTACACAATGGAACACTATTCAGCCTTTAAAAAGAAGGAAATCTTGTCATTTGCAGCAACATGGATGAATCTAGAGGTCATCCATGATATATGGAAAAAAATATACTTTTTTTGTACTAGAAAAGCCAGGTACAGAAAGACAAATACCACATGATATCACTAATATAGGGAATCTAAAAAAGCTTAATTTATAAAAGCAAAGATTAGAACGGTGGCTGGCAGAGGCTGGGGAGACATCAGTCAAAGGACATAAAATCTCTCTTAGGACGAATAGCTCCAGAGATGTACTGTACATCCTCGTGACTGTTGTTAATAAGAATGTAGTGTATATTGAAAATAACTGTAGATTTTAAGTGTTCTCACCATGAAAAAATGATAAATATGTGAGGTAATACATATTTTAATTAGTTTGATTTAGCCATTCCATGGTGTATACATGTATCAAAACATCATATTTTATACTATAAATATATACAATTTTTAAGTGTGAATCAAAGATAAATAAACATAATAAATGATAAAAAAAGAGAAACGCCTATGAGAAGAATCAACTGTGGCAAGGTTGAAGGACACTCTTTCTACCTCCTTCCCCCACTTTGACCCACAACTCAGCTTCTATGCCAGAACCTGAAAATCAGCTCCGCCAACAGTGACAAGGTACTGTTGATGTCTCAGGCTGCACAGGCGGTTAGGTGAAAGCACTGAAAATGGAGCCTGGACAACATCCTCTCCATTCCTCCTTCCCTAACTCACCATCCTCTGGTGCAAAGATGTAGAACCAACCAACCAACCTCTCGTTCAAGTCCCAAAGTTCTTTACTACCAAGATAAATAATTGCCATCACCATCACCTGTTCATGTAACAACCTTATTTTTGTTTTTTTGTCTGATCTAGATACAGCCACTCTCTGTTCCCTGCCCCAATGAACATCTGCACTAGGCCCAAGCCTTGGAGTGATTTACCTGAAGAGTGACACCATTTATTCTGAAACTACTGTGAGTACATTATGTCTCCAATAAAGCGCTTCTTAGTTCACTTCGTTTAAACACACACACACACAAAATTATGAGAGCAGGCGAAATTTTAGATGGCTTCATTTCTTGATCATCAGGGTAACCACTCAGTCCTGAGGTGCCCCCAGCAGTTCTCAACTTCCCGGCTGCAGTGCACGCCATATGCAGCGTCATTCCCTCCTGGCCGGATGGCTGTGCCGAGCTAGATCTGAGCACACCTTGCAAGGACTGGTGCTGTTCTGCTTGGTCATCTGTGCCTCTACCTACAGTGATGGCAGCTCCTCCTGATCTGTGTCCTTCTCATCATCCTTCTGTGCCATGCTACTGAATCTCACGGTAGCTTGTCATTTCATGCCACCCTGGTCAAGTCTGTGAGCCAGGTTTGCTTGCTTTTATTTACCTGTTGTCTGAGCTGCAACCCATGCTATTGTCTCCTTGCTGCCCTCCCCTTGGAGCTCTGGGCTCCTTCTACCACAATCTCTAAGCCACTGCATCCAGCTCAGCTCTGCTCTCTGAATGTATGGGTCTGTAGTTGGTTTAGTTCCTGCCATGAAAGGCATTTATGTAGGAGAAGCTCAGCCTTTGCAAGGAAAGGTACAGAAATAATTTGGGATAGGAGATATGATGCCTATGAAAAATACTGATGAAAGATTGATACCAAGTATTCATTAATCATTGCTAAAATAACAGATGAATATATGCTATTTTCCACTAGAAAAGCCAGACATTTGAATTATTTAGAAGTTCTTCATGCAAAACAACTTAATTATACATTTTAAAACAAAAACTCATCCTAGTTGTTATATTCATAAGTTTTCCTATATGTTACGAGGCAGGTAATGGGATGGTGTTTTTACAGACTTCTATGTTACTGGAAAACGCCAAAACTGGGAGACTAACATCCCTCTTAGGCTTCAGGTAGGATATTTACATTCATATTTCTATGTCTTTAGCTATTCTGCTATAAATCGAACCCAAAGGGATGAAGCCAGAGTTTTGTTTTATTTTGTGTTGCTTTTTTACTTTTAATGCTTTCAGTCAACTGAATCCTAGCTGATGTTAGCTGATGTGTAGTTGATAGGCCTGCCCTTCCAGGAAGGGAATGTGTTCTGTAGTACAAAATGATTGAGGTATTGGGGACTAGAGACATGACAGAAAATCAAACATAGTTTCTTCAGTCCACACCCACACAAGGAACTTACTTGTGTATACCTTCATTCATCGTTAAGTTCCAGTGCAAGAAGTACCTTAGAAATCCTCACATCCGGATAGTTTTTTGCGTTTTTCTTCATCGCAGAGTAACTACGATGATACAAGTAACATAGCCTTACTGTAATGCAGGTATGTTTCAAAGTTTCTATATCCTTTAAGAGAGAAAAGAGTCCTTATCACTCTTACCTCCTGTGCTGCAGAGAACCCAGATCCAGACCTAGAAATCAGGACCTGATGTTGCCTACAAATTACAGAGAAGTCCACAAGTTAGCATCTGTTTCTGTCATAGGAAGTATTCCATCTGTGCAGGATGCCAGTGCCTGCTTTTACTTCTCTTGGGCCCTAGAGAATGGACAGATTGGGTTATAATCTTTGCAGTCTCTGCTATTCAGAAACTTGGCTTTCTAAAGCATAAAAGAAAAATAATAATAAAACTGCCAAAGACTTGCTAGGTGCAAAAATCAGCAAGAAGGATAAAATTTTAAATGTGAACCATTTGCAGAAGTATATCTCTTCTAATGGGTTGACAACGCTCTGGGCCTGGTCTCAAGTCTTGGAAGTGGGTTGGGGAGGCACATATTAAATTTTAACACCTACCCACACCCATTCCACCTGCACAATCATGCCCAGTGACCCTGCCTACTTAACCAGATTATTGTGATAATTAAATGAGATGGTATATATATAAAATGTCTATCATGGCAGAGGTGAGTATATTTACTCTCTCATATAAATTTTGCTGAGCATTTACTATGTGCCAGATACTGTTCTAGGAACTAGGGACATGACAGCAAGCAAAACAAACAAAAATCCCTGCTTGACTGAACTTACATTCACTTACATTGCTCTATGAATGGCAATTCGACATAATAGGTATATGGAAACTAAGAGAGAACTAGTTTTATTTTGCTCTGTCCTTCCTTCCAGAAAGTATAATTGAGGGTATAAGAGAGAAAGAACACATATGTTGATTAGTCTTCCCACCCCATTCCAACCCTCAAAAAACCCCAGAACCATTCTTTGCCCTGCTATGTGACCAAGAAGGCTGGCTTTCTAGACTACATTACCCAGACTCGCTTGTCCTTGGGCTTCCCTTTGAATTTGACCAAAAGGAAATACCAGCAGGAGATGTGAAACTGGGAAAAGAGAGAGATCAGGGAGTGTATTAGTCCAGCCCTCGTTCCCAACTCCAATTCTGACTGGACTCAGAAATCATCACCCTTTTACTTGCCCCTTCAGTTAAATGTTTACAGCTTTCCACTCTTGCTAGTACCTGGTGCTATCTCCCTTGAGGTCCCTTAACCTCATCTGCACCTCCAAATACAGTTCTTTTATTAAACCCTCTTTAGCTAAAAACTTTGCATGTGCCATCTATTTTTGCCAGGATCCTGAATGATACAGTTAGGAGGAAATTTTACTGAAAAAAACATTATAAATCAGCCCTGCCAAGGTTAAAAAAAATAAGATTGAGAAAATGAAATGTGTTTAATCACAAAAACATCCCAAATTGATGTGAGGACATCAGACCAAGTAGAGAAATGATAAATTGTAAGAAAACACAATAAGCCAGAATGCCATAGGTTGGTCTCAATGAATAGACCATAGTGCTCAGCCTTGATGGGCTTCTGCAGGCCAAGTGCAGCTTGCTCAACCCTCAGCTTCAAGGAGCTCATGGTGTAGTGTAGCCACAGCAGTGACAAACATCTGAGCAAAAAGGAGATGTCAGGAAGTATACAGTGAGATCAAGTGTTGAGGAAGAGATTGCTTGTCCTAACATTGTTTCTGCCTTTGCTACAGTAACAATCCATTTGCCCCTGCCCCAAATCTAGATACCGAAACAGATTACCGAGATGAAGGAAATATCTTCTTAAGCTAACCTGATGAAAGTCACAGAACTAACAATACCTATGAGAGGAGCTACCATTATCGAGCCCTTACCATGTACCAGCACAAGGCTAATCACTTTACGTGGCTAATCTCATTTGTTCCTCACAATAACTCTAAGTGGTAGGTATTATTATTCCCATTTTACAGATGAGGAAAATGAGGCTCAGAGATGCAGAGTAATCTACCTAAGGCACAGTAGTGGAGCTCAGTTCTGCTACCACTCTTGTTGGCGTGGTTTGTTACCACCTGCCCTTTCTCCCCTGCACGGATACTAAGCCTATTTAATGTATTGTTGGAGAAAAGAGTAGGGAAATGGTTATGACTCCGGAAAGATTTGGGGAGGCATCACTGGTCTAAATTATCATGAGCCAATGACTGAGTAATTATTTATCAAAAGGAGGTTCCAACTAATTCTTTTCTACCTGAAAAGTAATAGAGACATTACTTATCAGATAGGAAAAGACCTGATAAGTAAAAGGCACATTAACGTGCAAGAGAGGGTGAGAGCCCAGTGAAAAGAGAAAACTGGGATAGGGTGAAAGAAGAGAGCACTCTCCTCTCAACACCCTGGAGACTGCTAAGAGCTCACACAGATAAAATATTTATTTTTCCATATGTTGCAGAAAGCATTGCCATCACTGTATGTGTGCAATATGTGCAAAAGAGTGTGAAATATATACATCAAATGCCGCCGATCTGGTTGATTTCCATGCATTTAACATGCTTAATACCTACCATATCATCAATATGTTTTAATGCATATTTCTTTCCACATACAATATGGTCTAGTTAGGAAAGAGCCAACATCCTCAACAGCCTTACTCACTGCTATGTTTCAGCCTAAAACTTCTTCCCGGGGCCAGCACAATGAGAGTTAAAAACCGGCAGGCTCTGCTGGGCTAACTCGGCCGCTAGTCTCCTTAGAACACCCTCCCAATTCTTGAAGCAGCCTTTTCTCATAACAGAAATGTTTGCAGTGAGGAGATGAAAATGTTTTTGTTCTCCTTGGACAATTGGGAGATGTTCAGTCAGAATGTCAGAACTGGCCGTTGAAAGGCGGGTGCCTGTGACCACGCTTTTAATTTTTTTTTTTTTGAATGCAGAGCTCCACCAGTGTGGCGGGAGGAAGTGCACAGTGATTGGTCTGTTTCTCTGTGGAAGTGTTCAGGGTACACCCAGTTTTGCTTTGCATATATTTACGAAACATCTGCCCTTTTCTTATTCTTAAGTCCTTCCCTCTCACCAGCCCCCTTTCCCCTTTTCCCTGGTTTCTTTCTTTGTTGTTGTTGGCTTGTCTAACTTTTTCATTGGAGCTTTCATTTTCCGGTTGAGGGGCGACTTCATCAGAGTGTATAATTTTAACAGAGAAAGGGAGGGAGGGAAGGAGGAGGAAGTGGGGGGGAGAGAGAGAGAGACAGAGGGAGGAGAGAGAGAGAGAGAGAATGAGAATTGAAAAGAAAGAGACTGAGAGGCCAGAGAATTGAAAAGAAAGAGACTGAGAGGCCAGAGCCTGGCAAATCAACCTTTGGCATGGTGACCAGGAGGAAGGTTCTGGTCGAGAGTTTGCCTCTCTGAAATCCGCTGGAGTCAGCCAGTGTGCTGCTGCCCTCTAAAGGCTCCAGTGAATAGTGCATCGCCACAGAGGCTTGAAAAGACTTGCCCACAGATGTGTCATGTTTATAATTCTTTTTATACAGCTCCAAAATGAATTTTCAATCAATTATGATAGGGCTTATTCTTTCCTCCGTAATAAACTATGAACTGCAAAAATGGGGTCAGTTCACAGCACCTGTGCATGTCTAGACATAAACGGGTGCTACGTTTTAGGGTTTCTCAGCTCCAGAAAAAGGGGTCAGAAGAACTAAGAGAAGGTGAGATAGGAAATAAATTGCTTCTGAGGATGGTGAGCAGCTCTCTGATATCTGCACAGTTGGGAAACAGCCCAGTGGCATAAGACTAAGTAAAGTGATATGAGACTAATGAGGGGGTAAGCCAAAAAGGTTGAGTTTTTAACATTTCTTGTTTATAGAGGTAGCTCCAATGCCTCTGTGCTATGAATATTCTCCCAAAGTGATCACTGAGGCAACAGGAGTGTGTGGTACAAGATGTCAGGTAGGAAACGAGCGAATCTAGGGAAGGAAACAAGGGCATTGATAGGAAGAACAATATAAATTTTTGCTGTGTTAAAAATAAAAGAGTAATGTGAGTGGCTTGGCTATGTCCTTATGTTTAAAAGAAAGCTCCCCTAATTTTCTGAAACACACATCTGAAAGTATCCTAGGAGCTGCCTATGAATACCAAAAGTAAACATTTTTTCTGCTAGTTGATATATGTCATTACTATTTCATCCCTATATTTAAATGAATCATGACGGCTAGCCTAGCCTTACTGAGCAAAACAGTCCTGCTCTTATTAAATCCCCTTCACAGACCTAAAGCAACAGCAACCAGTCAAGGTAGTTTTGCTACCTTGATGCATAAAAAGTAGGAAACTTAATTGGGATTCAGACTATGACTATTCTTAAAATACACTTTAATGTCAGCTTCATTTCATTCCATCCACAATCAATTATTGAATGCCAGCTTTGTCTAAGCTACACTGCTTAATAGTATAGACGAGGCAGTAAACTCTGGGAAGGAAGGAATCAGGCCTGTTTTATTCTTTGGTATATGTTGGCACATCATGGTTACATCATAAATATTTGTAAAATGAATATGTAAATGAATGAATGACAGAAGAGAAGGAAGAAAAAAGAATAGATGAACACAGGAATACAAAAATAACTAAGACATTTCCTTACCTTCAGAGAGCTTACAGTCTCATAAGAGGGATATGCACATAAATTGCCATTATTGAAATAAAATTTAGGGAGTGAAATAAGATTAGGGAAAAAAAAAAAGAGCTTAGGTATTTCAGAGAAAGACCTAGGGAGAAATTCAATGTGGGGAGTGAAGGGCTATCTGGTAGAGAGGAATCAAGACAGTTATAAGATGAAGATACTATTTAATACTGTAAGTATGAAGGATAAGTATGATTGCAACAGGACAGAGATGAAATATGGGATATTCAAAGCAAGAGAAAACTTGAACAAAGCTGTAGAGCCAAGAATGTGGATTCCCAGGATGTTCTAGGGAATATTCAAGTAATTTGAGAGTTCAGTGTGGCCAATATATAGGACACATGAGAAAAGTTAGAGGAGATACGGAGCCAACCTTGAGTGTCAGGCTAATGTAGTCATCTTAGATTTAGTGAATGCAAAGAAGCAGGACCCAAGGCGTGAAGGAGGATGGAGAGCCAGTTAGTAAACAATCAGCTAGATAAAAGGCAGTAAGGTGATTGCAGTGAAACTGGAATGGAAACACAGATGTTTATTGATCACAAAGAACTTATTGATGAATTGGCTTTAAGGTAGAGGAAGGTGTATAGTGACCCTGTGTTTTCTAACCTAGTGGTAGATAACAGTGAGAGAGATATGACCTTAGAGAAAGCATTGGTTTTAATAAAGGAGTTGGGCTTTAGCAACTTTGAGCTTGGCTACAGAATACCAGCTTCTTGGGGGTCCATGTAGACACTCAAGATTTGGGGTTACTCTCATAATCACCATTCAACAAACAATTGACAAGGTCTTATAATTTGTTGCTTCTCTTATATTGCCTTCCTCCATACTGAAAAAGATGTCTGAAAGTCTCCTCTATTCTAATCTTTACCATGCCATCTCTGCCTCCTGCCCTCTGAAGAAACAGATTTTATTTCACAACCTGTTGGACTGAAAACACAGCATACTAATCATAACACCATATTCTGCGAGGGCAGATTTAACTACCCAGTACAACAAATTTAAATACAAAATATTCTGCATAACAAGTCCATTACCATGCTCACAGAAACAAGGGAAACATGGAACAAATCTACTTACAACAAATTCTGTACCACACATAGTTTTCTACAAATAAAAGAAATGCTTTTTCTGGTCACTATCCACATCATGATAGAAAAAGACACAAATCCAAGGGAATTGGGGAAATGTTCAGAAACTATTACTAATAATCCAGTTTGACTGGGGTCTAGGTTATGTGTAGTATAAGTTAAGTGTTTGCTAATTTCATATCAGTTGCATTGTCCTTGGGAGAGGAGACCTGAGCTAACTGATAGCTGTGCTGTTTTACTTCCTATTCTGACCTTGTATAACAATAGTAACAATTACTTTCTAATTCCCTTCACCCATCTCTTCCTTACATCTCAAACACACAATCACACCCTAAACTCCAGGACGATGCACTAAATCCAAAATCTTAGGCGTAGGATGAGTAGAGTTGGAGTAGAGAAATCTCTGCATGTCACCTTCCCTCCTTAGCTACTAGAATCTAAGCTTTTCTTTGACTTTTCACTTGCTACTCTCAGAAGCCTCCATCACTACCCCCTCATCTGTACTGCCTGCAAATTTAAATTGTGATTTGAAATTTTATTGATTTAAAATAAAGTCTAAATAACAGCAAGAAAGTTGAATGTTCCATAATGTATTCCATGAGTAGAAATTTAAAGTTGGAAGGAACCTTTAAGGCCTTCTAATCCAAGCCCTTTATTTTACAGATGAGGAAACTGAAGCCCAGAGAGGTGAAGTGAGGTGCCCAAGGCCACACAGCAAGTTAGAGGCACAGCTAGTACCGTAGCTCAAGTCTCCTGACTCCCAGTCCAGTGCTCCTCCCATTACTCCACGAGTCCTGTCTCTAAGCTTCCTGACAAATGCTAGAACGGTAAAACTTCCACTAGTATTTTTCCAGACCATGTTAAAACTCCTAAGGGGGGAAGAGGGATGCTTTCTTGGATAATGTCAGCCATACGTAGCTCAAGCTGTCTAAAGTTCTGGGACAGGGTCTTTTTATGCAGCCAACAGAGTCCAAATGTGGTGCTGTTTTCTTGGCCCATATGCTTTCATGTGTTCCCAGTTAGGCCATTACTGGAGGGAAAAAAAACAAGAATCAGCTTGTTTTAAAACAAGGGACATACTGGACTCCCTCCCATCCCCCTTCAGAAAAAAAAATCAAGTTATCTTTAACAGATTCTAAAAATGCCTTTTCCCAAATATGCAGTCAGTTCCTTCAAAGGGCCCTTTGTTTATTTTCAGGAAGAAACCCAAGACAGCTGAAAACCAGAAGGCATCTGAGGAGAATGAGATTACTCAGCCGGGTGGATCCAGCGCCAAGCCGGGCCTTCCCTGCCTGAACTTTGAAGCTGTTTTGTCTCCAGACCCAGCCCTCATCCACTCAACACATTCACTGACAAACTCTCACGCTCACACCGGGTCATCTGATTGTGAGTACACCACTAAGGTGATGGTGTCTTCGCAGTGCTTGGAATAATGCTTCTCCCCTGGGTTCTGGCTTTTTTACTTTCAGAGCAAGCTGTTTGCATTTGGTCTTCTAAAGCAGCCAAAAGCAACGTGCCACCATTTTCATTCAGCCAACATCTATATATTTTAAAAGCTAGAGTATATTTAAAAGCCAGGTGACAAGCCATTTGACCTTAAAAGGCCGATTAATTACATAAACCACGTTCTTTTCCTAATGTTAACTCAGAAAAAGAAGTTTTGTTACCGATGTCTATTTATTCTTGATCTGGATAACGGCACTTCCACGATTACTAAATTGAACAGCCAAACATGGACCTCAGAAAGCCAGTTAGACACGAGGAAACATCCATTTTGAAATTACATAACACAAGTCAGATTTGCATTCGTTATTGGAGTCTCATGTAGCTTGGCTGAATTTCTGTCTTTCCAGTTTTTAATTTATTTTGAAGTGGTTAAAGGATAGCATAAATTTACAGAAGAAAAGAGAATGGCTTCCAAGAATTCAGAAGCCACCCAGACTTCACATAGCCAATGAGAATCCAGGTTAAAAATATTTTTTAATTAAAAAAACTGCCTAAGGGCTAAATTTGGAAATGGGCAGCTTAATGCGATCGTCGCTATTGAAATCACTTCTTTGCTGTTTATTTTTGCCATCTTCCCACTAATCTGGGAGTCACTTCTTCTAATTCTATTTTAAGCAAGTTGATAAATCACGTTTAGGAGATTTTTTTCTCTTTCTGAAATGTAACCCAATACTTCAGAGAAAAAGAAACATGTGTGTTGACAATGGAAAGGAATGAAATAACTTTGGAGTCGAATCCAAAAGAATATTCCTTTTAGTCTTAAGATACCCAACAACTCTTCTGAAATCTCCGTACACGATGTCTGGTAACATGCAAATAACTGGCATATTTTTTAAAATGAGGAACATAAGACCCGCAAAGTTTTATTTCAAAAATAAAATTCTGTCCACAAAGACAAAAATGATTAATTAGGAAATAAGATTCTAAATCTTTTATTGTTATTTTTCTGACAGAACAAATGTAAAATTCTGCAAAGAAGGCAAGAGACAAATTGGTCCAGGAGATTCCATTCTCTACTTGCTTCGTCATGATAGTCTTTGAATAGAGGGAAATGACCTGGGGCAGGTTTGGGGTAAAGAGAGCTTGTACTACTTAAGGTTGGACTAAGACCATCTAGCCATCACTAGAAAATGAAAAGGGAAGTAACGTGGGCCAAATCTCTGTGGCCCATGAGATTTGAACAAAGTTGCGGCTTCTAAAGAGAAACCAGGCAGGCGCAGGGATTGTGTCCTGAGGACTGTCCTGATAGTCACATCCTTGGACCTTCTTGCCTGGCAGCCTCCAGCGTAATAGTAAAGATAGAATTGGAAAGTAGCATGGCACAGTGCCTACAGGCGTGTGCACACCGTCCCTTCCCACCAGGAAAAGAGCCCGTTTGTGTGGTGAAAGGGCTATTTTCTACATGCAAATCTTCATTACCTGGCTTTGTGCCACACCTTATGGGTGTGGATTACCTAGAATTGTCTTGGCCCAAAAATCTTCTGTTATGGCAAAAATAAATGTTTTGCTGAATAGAAAAAGCATTGGGCTTCATATTGTGCTTTATCATGAGCATCCTCTGGCCAGGCCCTAGCATTGGCATGAAGTACGTTTAAGGAACAGCGTGAGTATGGTGTCACCATACATCTCCTTGGTGGCCCTGAGGAAGCCAGCGGATGTGAGCTCAGTTGGAAGAAAAAAACGAGGAGGGGAAACCTGATCTCCAGCTGCTTAGAAAGTCACTTTGATTTTTCCATTAAGATGTGTAAGTCTTCTCTGTTCCAACCTGTTGTTTAAATTGATTATACTTTTCTCCAAATATATTTGGATTGTAGTTTGTCCTGATTTGAGCCTACACTTAGAAGAAAATTGTTTTTAGGAAAGATTCACAGAAATCTGTCCATTTGGAGATTGCTTGAGAGAAGACAGGAAAAAGGTTTATTTTAAGCTGTTAAAATTTTTGGATGCTCTTCTTGCATTCAAGAGGATTTTTTTTTTTTTTTTTTACTTTCAAATGTCATTCTTACCATAGATTAATTTAAAAGCCTAATTTCTGTAAGGTAAAATATTCAGTTCCTATTTAGAACTAACAGATTTGGGGCATTTAAAAATAGTGCCCTTGACTTGTTAGTCTCTTTAACTTCAGAAACATTCCACCAGTGTGTGGTGTTCCAAGCTTTCACAAGTGCCTGAATTTTTATAGCACCTTTTTATTTGTCATGTGTTTAGCAAAATTATTCTTAGTCATGATTTAATGCCCATTTCCTGTCAGTATGATCCTTCCCAATTTACAGATGAGAAAACTGAGAAAATTGACACCCAGGTAGATGAAAGACTCGCTTGTGGTTAACTCATTTGGGTGTTTGTGGATTTGCTCTCATTGTGAGAGCGTTTCTTATTGGAATTCTCTATTGAGCCCAAAGATGGCATTCCTGGCTCTGAACAGGCATCTTCAAAATGTGCAACTACTCATATTGGTGACTGGGTTGTAAAACATGATGGATAAAGCATCCTTACAAAAGAAAAGCCGGCTCTGCATAGGAACTGACATGGGTGGGTAAGGCACAGTCTTTTTTGCATATGAAGGACATAGGCTGTTTTACAGCAAAGATGACAAGTCTGACCCCTTAAATTCTCAGTTGACTATTTAACCTACTGCGCCTCTTCAAATTTGGCAAAAGATCCCAGTAATATTCAAAACAAGAAGAAATACAGTTGAGATATGCTTTCTTTTGTGAGCTGATGAGGTTAATATTGCTGCTAATATGTATGTTGCTTTCCAGTGTGCCTACTAACACAATTGCCTTTTAGCAATATTCCCCCTTTACCTCCTAGCTTATCACCTCTTCACCATTGCTAAAAGCTAATGGTAAGCAAATTCAGATGGTGATAACGGAAGGCATTAAGATGAGTTATGGAATCTGAAGGGTAAAAAACACCCTAGGTGTTTGACAAAGAAGTTACCCACTAAACAGGCTGAGTATGAGCTGAGCCAAGTGCTCCCTTTGAATGCTGAAGCAGGACTAAACCAAGTCAGTAAAGCAGATGAAGCTCTCCATATGAAAAACCTTTCTTGACAGCTATCAAGCTGTAGCACATCACAGTCATATACATGTGATAGACGTGACCAGAACTTTTACTTGCATATTTCTTCCATTTTGTTTTCCCCCAAATAAGGCTCCCATTGAAAGAAGTGATTTTCCTCTCTGTGGCGGTCCTCCCTACTTCTGCTGTGGAGCCACTTATTCTGATGTCTTCCTTTTGCTGGAAGCTGATATCCGTGGTGACTTACCTTCCTATGTTTTACACCGGCCTCATCAGACTGTCTGGTTTTTTGTGTCCTTGCCAAGATGCACTTACCCATGAACAGTTTTTATTTATTTTTCACTGAACCTTTACACATTACCAAACTGTCATGTGGGTGGATTTAACTTTAGCTCTATAGGTAGCATCACTCTGCTGGGGCTGGGCACTCGCAGTGGCCGGTGGGCTCTCCCTTTTCCAACTCTTGCCATCCGCCTTCCTTGGCCTCCCCCTCCCAACCATTTGCTTTACCCGCCCAAGTCCCTGTGATTAAAATTTTTAGTACACTTGGCTCATTTTGAACTTTTAAGCAATTTTTTAGAGAACAAAACAAAGAGGATTTTTATGGCAAACTCCATTAATGCCACATTAAGGCTGACATTTTAATTACCCCAAAGTCAGGAAATGCAAAGTTCAGGTTCCCACAGCAACAGAAACTGTCCCCTTGAGTGCTGGCATCACAGCAGATTCTTTCATTCCCTGATTACACAACACCGGGCGTGGGGACATTGTTTTTATCCACGTATGTGGAAAGGAGCACAGTTTTTATCCTTTGACTTTTTTCCTGTAACTACAGTTGAGGATATGGGTCTTTAGCTTCCCTCCCAAAACCATCTATATGTATTATCCTGGAACGGAAGACTATTATAGCTCTACATGTGCACACGGACAGAATTAAAGTTGCTGTGGGAACATTAACTCTGATTTCCGGACTTCCGTGCCAGTCACATTTAAACCATAATGTTGTAATTTTTGGCATGTAATAAATGTGCATTTCATGTACACAGACAGAAAGAAGCATAAAATGTATTTTAAAGAGCAATTAATTACTAACTTTGTGATTAAAAAACATTTGGTGCATGTTCCTTCCCATTTAGCATCAGCTGCTGGTCTTAGCCAGGCCTAATAGATGACATACTGTGTCTCATCCTGTAACTCAGATGTACTTACTGTATGTTCCTGTTCTTCCAGATAATTAATTCCCTTAGTAAAGCTGTAGGGGGAAAACAAAATGGAAGGAATATGCAAGCATGTAAATAGGGTAAGGGATATTTTGAAAGAAATGATTCATTTCGGAAAATAAACCTTTTAGTCCCTGATAATGAGCCAGAAATCTGCTAAGTGGGTGTAGACAAAGGTTTCTGGCCACCTTAGAGCATCTGGTTCGGGGCCATAAGAACAACTTGAAAGCAGATTTCCTCTTGAATTCTAGGCATGCCCACTGAGGGAGTGATTTTACTCTAAAAACTTCTAGGCTTAAGACTTAAAAAGTTATTTTACTCTATAACAACTTTTTTATGCTGTATTCAAACTGGAAAGTAAAAGTTATAGGGCATCGGTAAGATGAAGGTTTTGCTAAAGAACGCCTGACTTAAAGAGTAATTTTTTTTCTTCCCTTACATTTAAATTTGGTTTACCTATTTGTGGTGGAGAAGGAAGTGTTTCAAAATAACTGAACGGGTTTGTGAGTGAAAGGAGTTAGTAGCAATACTCTATGGTGCCATATTTAAAAATGTGAATGCTTGAGCATATATTTGAAACCAGATGAGATAAAAAATTTTACTGAAAGGATGTATAGCTTAAACTCTAGGAAAGTC